GTTTGGGTGTGTTCTGTGTGGACCCTGAGGTGCCCTACATGAGAAATATGACCTAGGTCCTAAGCAGGTCTCTCTAGGACTTTGCCGATAGCTAGGTACCTGTCCAAATGGCTAGGCAGACAGAATTCTTCTTTTCTCCTAAAACTATTCCTTAGATACAGTAATAAAGATGGGTTTTTTTTTGTGGTGATTTCTCCTCTAGTAGAGGTACTGCTGTCTATCTTTATTCCTACTCCATGCCTGAGAGGCAGAGGAGACTGAGGTACAAACAAAACAAAACAAAAAAACAGATGGTCTGGTGAGACGGCTCAGCTTAGTGCTCGTATACAGGACCCAGGTTTGGTTTCCAGCACCCACACAATATGGCTAACGACTATCTGTAACTCCAGCACCAAGAAATCTGGCCTTCACTCTCACAGGTGCCAGGCACACATGTGATACACAGGCATGTATGCAGGCAAAACATTTACCCACATAAAACAAGTAATGAGACTTCCTTTAAAAGAAAAAACTACGGCGAAGGTTTAGAAAGGCGTCCCCATACCTGGGTGACATAATCTCTCTAGCTCCTCTTTAGAGGACACCGTTCCTGGTTTTGAGGCCTGGTTAGTTGCCCCAACACTGACAGTTACTGCTAATACAGCCACAGGGAGGGCTGCCTGAGGATGCAGGAGGGGCTGGTCTGGGCAGCAGGCAGAGCAACTTAAGGCAAGGCATGATATCACGTTGCCTCGCAGAACGTCTGTGTCTGGGTCTCCTCAGCGCTGTTCCCACTAAAGACACTTCCCATCATCAGAAGGTAGAAGCCTTACATGGCTGAGATCTCAGTGGGGACAGCCTCTGCATCCTCTAAGCCATAAATGTTGGCAGGTTAAGCTGAAGACAACCCAGCAGTGAGGTAGGCTTCATAGAACCATCATCTTCCTGAACATTTTGCTTCTGTGGACCCTCTGTGGGCCCTATGTTCCCATCACAGTTAATTTTTTATTTTATTCTTTGCTCATGTGGTTAATGTTGTTTTTGTTCTGCTTTGTTTGAGATGAGGTCTCTCTACATTGCCCTGGCTGTCTTGAAACTATCTATGTAGATCTGGCCTTGAACTCACAGAGACTCATCTGCCTCTGTCTCCCAAGTGCTGGGATTAAAGTTGTAGACTCCTATACCTGGCTTCCCCCTCAGAGTCTAAAAGAAGATCAACTTCCTGTTTCTGGAGAACTAATTCAGGAGGCATCAATGGGCTATTTCTCTTCCCAAGAAGCCCTTTCTTCATGCCCTATGGTTTAACAACTCCATGGTCAACACATAGACCTGTGGCTACCTTCAACTCCTCAAGCTCCACAGGTCCTCTTTCATGATGCCTCCCATAGGTAAGTCAGGAGCCTCATGGAAATGGAGAGAGGGAGATGAAGGTAAGGTTTAAGAGATCTGCCAAGGAGAGGAACAAGGAGGGGCCCTGGAAGCCTGTCTCAAGGGGCTGAGATAGACTGAGATCCAACTCAAGACAGGTCTTGGGCCTCCCTAAGGCTCTGATATTCTTGCACTAGGAACAGCCAGGAACCCAATGGACACATGCTCAGAACAGGCCTGAATAAAGCCCTTTGGAGCTGCTGGGCTTGGTGGTAGAGCCTTTAATTCTAGCACTCAGGAGGCAGAGACAGGTGGAGCCCTGTAATTCCAGCATCCAGAACTAGTGAGGCTTGGTCTCAAAAGAATTTCTTTTTAAAGGGTAGAGAGGTCCTTGACCAGAACCTGCACGTTATGGACTCTGTCTTGCACTACCTGCTTTGTCGTGGGCATGGACTCCCGCTGAGAGACCAGTTGCCTGTGCATTACACTGTAACAGCTTCTGCCGCTGCACAAGCAAATGAGCCCCCAATTTTTTTTACTCATCCATTTATTTATCTTTGAGAAGGAGTTTCTCTGTATAGCCCTGGTTGTTCTGGAATGCGCTTTGTAGACCAGGCTGGCCTCAAACTCAGAGATCCACCTGCCCTCTGCCTCCCAAGTGCTGGGATTAAAGGCGTGCACCACCACCGCCCGGCTTCAATTCATGTTTTTAAGGCTCAAACTTAACAGGGATAAAACCGCAAGATCCTAATCTTATCAAAGCTACTAACTTGTGAACTGTTAAAGATCATTAAGACGTGCAAGTGAATGGTTAATCACCTTATAAATGATCGGATTCTTTAATGTGCTCAGAACTACGCTTGCAGTCATGCGTACTTAGTGACGCTTAGGACAGATGTGATTCGTCTACAACGGCGTTTCTCACCCTGTGGGTCCCGACACATTAGGCAAACCTCTATCTCCAAAAATCCTTAACACTGCGATTCATAACAGTAACAAAATTACAGTTAGGAAGCAGCAAGAAAAATAATTTTATGGTTGGAGTGGTCACCACAACATGAGGAACTGAATTAAACGGTCTTGGCATTAGGAAGGTTGAGAACTGCTGATTTACAGGGACAATACGCTTCAGCCTTCTGTCTACGTTGTCAGGGTTATGCCTGAAGCTAGTACCTAAAATCAATTAGTCTGGTTCAAATCAGGTATACTTAAGAGATTAGACCATGGTCCTCAAACCCTCAGGGAGATCTGGATACCGCATTTAATGTGTTTAATGAAAAAGGCCTCTCCTGATAGACAAAATACCAGCCCCTGGTAGCAGTAGTTGAGGCTGTCTCCAAAGCAGAAAGGCAGCAATGGATTCCACCTGGACCTCACGACAGTGGACAAGGAACCATTTTTATACCTTGCCCCTGCCAGGGCTTGCCATAGCATTGGGTTAACTGCTCTACTCTGCCTTGCTAAAGGAGACCAGTTCGAGTTTCTCCTCCACGGGAAAAGCTCTCAGGCCTCCTGTTCTGGCAGCCGAGACCTGATGCTATCCTGTGTGGCAGTCAGAGACTAATGACCTCTGTCCCCAGCAAAGCCATTGAATGTCTCCATGGAGGATCCCAGGCTGGCTGTCCAGATAATGGGTAAGTCTCTGTCATCCTTATTTGGTACAGAAGCCACTTGGTTTATACTTCCTAATCAAGTTTACCCTGCTGGTTATGTCCACTCTGCCTTTTCTCTCTGCTCTGTCACGGTCATGTCGGTGGTTTCTTCACCATGCCCACTTGCAATGTCCATGTGTGTACATCTTTACTCTTACAGTTGGAGGAATGACATGTATTTCTTTGTGCCTAGTCATATGTCCTTGTACTGAAGTTCTCCGCTCACAGTGCAGCCTATATGGGGTACATGTGGGCATGGGACATTGAATCCTGAAGACTCAAGGAAGCCTGGGCTGGGTCTCAGCAGACTAAAAGGATCTGTATCACAGTTGTCCCCAGAAGTCCTTCCTAAGCCCCTTATTCTGATCTCCTAACCCCAGAGCCTACCCCTGTGCAGCTCAACCCAAAAGCTCCGTTCCTAGAAAAGGCTAGGCCAGTGAGACCTCTTCCTTTTCTGCCTTTGTGCTTCTTTCTGGTCTTCTCCTACCACCCAGGGGCCAACTGACCACCAGCAGAGTTCTGTTCTCTGTCTCCTCACACATTGCCTGTGTCATTGTTCCATCTTCAGCCAGCACAGTCCTAAGGAGGGAGGAACCCGTGAGGACTAGGGTACACTCCCAGTTCATACTGGCACTTCACTGTCCCTAAGATGCTCAGGTTACTAACAACAGTGGAGAACCACCAGGGACAGTTCATGCAGGGTTCAGAACTGCTGCCAAGAAGGGTCCTAGATGGTTCTACTCTGAAGTCAGCTAAAAGGACTTCTGATTGATGGTACAGTCAAATATATATATATATATATA